GGAATGCCGTTCTTCCAGATTGTCCTTGGAATATCATTGCAAGCAGGCCCCTAGGGAAACTCCCCTTGGGCAGACTGGCCACTCAGAACTCAGTCATCTGATCCCATCATGGGAACAACCACCCAGAACTGGGGTCCAGCCAAGTTGACACACAGCTCCAACCATCACAGTTACCCATAATTTGCTATGATCCACTACAGTTGAATGCCTTTGTGTAATCTATAAAACACAGGTAGACATCTTTCTGGTGCTCTTTGCTTTCAGATAAGATCCACCTGACATCAGCAATGGTACCCCTCTTTCCACGTCCTCTTCTAAATCTGACTTGAACTTTGGCAGTTTCTTGTTGATGTACTGCTACAACTGTACCATCTAGGAAAGTCTGACAGGGATGCTGACTTAGGATGGCTGAGGACTGGAAAGGGCTAGCAGGAGCTGGTAGGGGCTAGCACGGGAATGATGAACGCTGACAGTGGGCTGGTGAGGGATAGGTGGGACTGATGAATATTTGCACAGGGCTGGCAGGGATTGGTGAGGGCTGGTAGGAGCTGGCAGGTGTTCAAGGAGGTTTAATCCTGAGCTCTTCTGGACAAGTGTCCAGCTACCCTTAGGGTCCCACCCACGGAATATGTCTCCATTCAAAATGCTTCCTCTGTTCCTACATTTCCAGGAGCTGGGAAGGAGGGAGGCAAAGTCAAAGAAGACAGCCCTGCCCCAGGGGACCCTGGCAATACAAATACAGCTTTCCATGCCAGCAACACAGGCACTTCCCCTGTTACTCTCTTACATCCTCCTGACGAGTGAAAACAAGAGAAGTTGGTGAATCTGGCTGAACCATCAGCCTCAGGCTCTGGAATGTGGAAGCCCAGTAATGATCTGCACCTAGAGGTTTATCACCTTTAATCCAAATTACATATGAGTCCTCATCCCCCCTAATACTCTTCAAAGACATGTGCTGAGTCCAGGAACTACAGGATCAGAGTTGGAATGAGATCTGGAGACCAGCTCATCTAAAGCCTGTGTCACATGTCAGAAAAGTAGCCAGGGATGACCTGTGGGCACAGCTAACTAGAGGGAGGATTCTAGTCTTAGGAACTTACATTGGGAAATAAGAAAGGTATGAAGTCAATAATCTGAGCTTCAACTCTAAAAAACTAGGGAAAGAAAAAGAGCAAAGGAAACCCATAGCAATCTGAAGGAGGGAAATACTAAAGATAAGAACAGAAATTAGAATTATTGAAAACAGAAAAATTAAGATAAACAATGAACCCAAAGCTAGTTATTTGGCTAAGATAAAGCCCTAGCCAGACTGACCAAGAAAAAGAGAGAAGACACAAATTACCAATATTAGGAACAAAAGAGAGAATGTTTTTCAGAAATGTTTTTCCAAAATTAAGTATTAAATATTTTTCAGAAATTAAAAAGATAGTAAAGGGATTCTACAAACAACACTATAACATTCAACAACTTCAGGGAAACAGACCTAAACCCTTGACAGACAGAGCTACCAAAACTCTTTAAAGAAGAAAGAGTACACCAGAAAGTTCTATATGTATGAGAGAAATTGAATTCAGAGTTAAAAAATCTCCCAACAAAGAAAACTCCAGGTCTAGATGTTCCACTGGAAAATTCCATAAAACATTTAAGGAAGAAAAATTGCCAATTCTGCATAATCTCTTCCAGAAAATAGAAGAGGAGGAGTTCCGGCAAGATGGCGGACTAGGCAGAAGGATTGCACAGACCCTCTTCAACAAAGAAAAGGGAAACCAATTAACACAGACACAGAAGATAATCTTGG